CTTTCTTCCTTCCTTCTGCTTTAATTTTTGTTTTTATTTGTATGTATTTGCAGAACACAATGATAACGTTCATCGTGGGGAGTTGGAGCACATATGTAACATCTGAATCCTTTTTTCATCCCATTTCTCTCCACACCTTTTCTCCTCCCTCCATCTTTTGATCTGGAAGAATGTTTTCTTACCCTCTTCTCCCTTCCTTTTTCCTGGCTGCCATGGGTTGAACAGCATTCCTCTGTGAAGCCTTTGCACTGTACCTTGGAGTGGAGCCATCTAATTGTGGGCTGAATCCTCCAAAAACCATGAGCCAAAATAAACCTCTCCTCCTTTATGATGTGGGTGTCAGGTGTTCTGTCCTGGTGATTGGAAACTGACTACACAGTTTTGTTCTGGTAAGAAAATCATGGTACTCCTAGTTGACTTCTCAAGTATCTTAGTCTTTTTTCTCTTTGTTTGCTGGAATATCATGTAGGTATACACATTACAGATATTTTCCTGTTAATAGACTTTTTTTTTTTGGTACCGGGAATTGAAATCAATACCTTGTGCTTGCCAGGCAGGCCCTTGTACCACTGACTTATATCCCCAGCCCTAGGGTTAATACACAATTTTTTAAGGACATAAATCTTTTCACACTATTTAAAACTTTTATCCTAATTTTTTAATAACTTGTATGTGCTAGAACATTGGAATGCACTTTAAGTAATACTAAATATTATGAAGTAGGATTATTTCTTGTGGAACTCAAAGAATATATGTATGCACTTATGATTTCTTTCTTTTTTTTATTTTAAGGATAAAAGGAGGGAAACATTAACAGACATACAACATTTTACAACATATCACAAGCACAATACAGACAATACAGAGTTACAAACAAAGTGGTAGGGAATTAACAATGGTGGTTGTATTACATACTGATATCTTCAAAGTGGCTTCTCATGAAAACAGATATAGACATGCAATACTGGTCAACCAAAGACTCATTGACAGTTTCTTTCAGCATAGAAACAGCAGACAGAAGAACAACCATGTTATCTATCCTGTATATACATACATACAAAATTTCTCCTTCTTTCCCTTCTCTTTTCCCACATCCCAGAAGCCCTTTACTCTTCAGTGGTTTCCTATCATGCACTTATGATTTCTGCACCCCTTTGGAGCAATGATAAAATATTGATGTGTTGTAACTATAGGCACTTTTATTCTAATTACAGTACGTCCCTTCCTTTGTTCTGCCTAATGTCCTTAACTAAAATCTATCATATCTCAGCAAGTTTGTGATAGCTGTAAATTCCTACACTTTGGGCAGTGGCACAGTGTGCTATATTGGAGAGTTCATCTGATGAATAACTGATCAACGTAGGTTTAATGCAGTCTTTTGTGTGTCCAGCAGTGTGGCCTTGTGTCAGTTACTTTAAATCTCTATTTTGGTCTGTGTATATGGAGGGTTGTTGAAGGAAACCTGAGTTATCTGTTATGTTCATTGAGTAGCTTTGTTTCCCTGCACAAATCTCAAGATGTTTTTGTTTCCTTATCTATAAAGCTGATGTGATAAAATGTAGACAGTTATGATGATCAAATTAGATAGTAAATCAAAGTATAGTAAAGGACATGAAGTAACATTTAATAATAATAAAACTGTGGTACTGGATTATGAGGATTTCTACCACTGCTATTTTATGATCTACCCAAGTTTCTTAACCTGTGTTACTCAATTTACTCTGCTAAATATATGGAAAATGATAGTTTTCTTTAAAAATTCTTGTAAGGAGTAAATGGGATTAAGTGTACAGATGGCAGAGTGGAGTGTTTTATGTCTAGAATGTGTCAGGTAATTGAACTGACTTAATTTCAAGTATATTATTTAAATTTAGCTCAGTATTTCTGAGTCTTGCCCTAGTTTTCAATCCTAGTAACAGGGTGGCATTAATGTAAGTCAGCTTTCTATCAGTATAATGAAATACCTGAGATAAGGTTTCTTTTCATTCAGTTTTGGAAGTTCAAGGATAGAATGGACGCATTGATTTGGGCCTTTGATAGGCATGCCAGATGACCATGGTGAGGGGAGCACCTGATAGAACAAACTACTCACCCTCATTATCCATGAAGCAAAAGAGAAAGAAAAAGGGATCAGGATTCCATAATCCCCTTCAAATCCCTTTCTGTTACAAGGATTTTCCCCTACTCCTCCCTCCCCTAAAGTGTCCACTACCTCCCAGTAGTTCCATTAGGACCAAACCCTCAATGATACCACAATGAAGTATCCTTTGGAGGACACTTGTCCAAATCATAGAGATAAGTAAGACAGATATTCTGTTCATGCAGCTTACATTCTTATGGGGCAGTTAGAACATAAGTAAGCACATTGTGACTTCAGAAAGCAGTGGGAGCTACAGAGTTAGTAATGTTTTACTACAGAGCAGAAAGTTGCCATTGGAAAAGTAGCTAGTGATTATAGACTGACTGTTCAGGCAAGGCAACTTTAAAGCAGTTTTTAAAAACGCTATTTGGAATATTTGTAGATTCACATGCAGTTTTAGAAATAACACAGAGAGAGGCTATGTATCTTGAGGCATTTGAAGTAGAAACTCGATTTTTAAAAAAAAGACTGTAACAAAGAATCCTACACGCAGAGGGAATACAAAGTGCAGAGATTTTGAAACAGAATCCAAATGTCATAGCCTTGATTTACTGAAATGAAATCATGGTTGCTGGAACATATGCATAGAGACAAGTACGTTAAAAAAAACACAATTATAAACAAGATCACAGGGTGCCCTTAGTGTCATGGTAAAGAGCTTCGCTTCCTAGTGGCAAGGATGTCCGTGGAAATATTTCTATATGGCAGATGACAATTTTAGGAAGCTTACTGGCTGCAATGTAGTACAGGGATGAGTTGCCAGTGCAATAATTTTTCAGAATTCTGTACCTTCTTATATTTGTAAGCTGATACTCCAACATTTTAGTCTTAAGTGTAAATACTTGGGCAGAATGTATTCTTCAGTGTAGAGTAAAAATTGATATTGAGAAATAATTCTCCTATCACTTAAAATGTATTGAGTAGAATGTGACTATCATGGTTTGATATCTGCCATCACTCATGTGAAAGTACATGAAAAGATCTTCTTTAACTGTTAGAACTGTTATTCTTTTTCTTACATTTCTTACATTTGTATATCACTTTCACTTTGCTAACATTTATATGAAAATGTTAATAATCATCCCATTTCTAGTTGGCAGTACACAGTGAGCCCTCTGTGTTTGTGGATTATATATCCATGGATGCAGCCATTATAGATAGAAAATATTAAACCAAAAACAATACAAAACTCCCATCTGTACTAAACATGTGCAAGCTTTTTTGTATATGTCATTATTTCCTAAATAATACAGAATATCAACAATTCACCTAGCTTTTAAATTGTGTTAGGTATTATGAGTAATCTAGAGATGATTTAATGTATAGAGGAGGATGTTGGTGGGTGATATGCAAATGTCATGCCGTTTTGCATAAGAGGTTCTGCATATTTTGGTATCTGTGGGGGTCCCTGGAACCAATTCCCCATGAAGTCAAAGTGACAACTATAAACTCATAGCATTGAAGTAAGGCTTTTATTTTTTAGTATCTTTAGCTATTACTGGTTGAGGGGTTAAAAATATCTAGAAAGGCTTATGATTACTAGCAATACATAGTGGATTGAAATAAACTGTAAAAAGTTTGATAGTTTTTAAACATAACATAGATATTGTCATTAGAATTATATCTGTTGAACGGGACAATTTTTAAATTTTCAATTTATGTGCCCATAGATGAATACATTTACTACTGGAGTATGAAACAGCTGATAGGGGCTGGGGATTTAGCTCAGACGGCACAACACCTGCCTGGCAAGCACGACGTCATGAGTTCGATTCCTGGTACCAGAAAAAAACAAACAAACAAAAAAACCAAATAAACAAACAAACAAACAGCTGATAAAAATCGTAAGCCTAAGTGATGTTGAGATGGTATACATTACTGAGCCTGAGGAGTTCAAAAGGTTATTAGCGGGGCTGGGGATTTAGCTCAGCGGCAAAGCACTTGCCTGGCAAGCGCAAGTTTGTGAGTTCTGTTCCCGGTACCAGAAAAAAAAAAAAAAAAAAAAAAAAAAAGGTTATTAGCTATTGCTTATGTTATATATTTCTGTGTTATTTATATTATGCCATTATGGAAGAGTTAATTACTTTTTTTTTTTTTTGAGACAGGGTCTCACTTGAACTCACCATGTAACTCAAGCTGGCAGCGAATTCACAGTAGTCCTCCTGCTTCAGCCTCCTGAGTGCTGAAATTATAGGCATGTGCCACCATGCCCAGCTTCAATTACTTTTTTAAAGTTAATCTAATTCTAATGAATGCATGGTAGGGGTGAATAAGCAGCAAAGTACTTGGTGAGTGGCACCAAGTGGATATATGTAGCATGAAGCAAATATTGATGGTACCCAATATTCTGTGGACACATTAATGATAATGTTCTTGCTTGAAAGAAAATAAAAATATGAAATCATTCCCAAATAATGTTTCTTTTATAATGTAATATTGTACTGGGCTGTGGGAAGTAAGTGTCCTCTCTTTCTTTAAATTAAAAAAAAAAATGTATAGCTGAGAAAGCCAGAACAGTGGTAAAAGATAGCACTGTTGTCTGACATACACACATAGTAATAAAATTGAAGGTGGAATATGAAATTATAAAAGAGTATTCCAAGATTATTTAACAAAAATAAACCCCCAAACTTGGGGACTCTTAGCCTTAGATAATGTATTGACCTTTACCACGAGGTTCATTTTGTTGGTTGGTTGTTTCAGTCTAGTTCTTTTTGTGTGAATGAAATGATGTTCTGCTCTCTTCAGTATTTTTTTGCCTGTTTTGTTTTATATTACTCTCACCCAGAAGTGGTATCCTTCATAGATTAGCAGGCAGGATGGATGAGCCATGTACCATTTTAAGTAAAAATTATTGTCACTTTCCCTGTGCCTACTGTACTATACCTGAAGTTAGAACATCTGGATTTAGGGTGAGTGTTCCCTGTATAGTGCTCTGCCTCTCCTTTTATGTAAATATGTATAAGAAAGGAAAGACTGAAATCTGTACCTCAGTTTTATGACATCTTGGTTTTGGAACTAGTATATGGCTGTATTTCAAAATTTTTCTTAGGCTTATCAATAAAATGAAAGCATATAAATCAAGTTAAAAATTGGTAATTACTTAGAATAATATTTGCTATGTCTCCTTCAAAAGTCTTAATGTGTTTTCAGTATATGAACAGAAGTGATCTGAGCCTGAAGGTCTTGGCAGGAAGAAGGAAATGGGGGGGTTGTTGATTCAAAGGGGAGATGGTTGTTTGTGGACCAGAGTGATATTTGTAGTCAGATCTGTGATAGATTTTGGAGACAAAACTGGCTGCACCTACTAAAGGATTGATTGTATGCAATTGTATAAGACAAATGAAAGTATCTGTCATTGAGAAGGAGATTGTGAAACATACTGGGAGCTTCTTTTCCCATGTTGAAGTAGAGATCTTGACTTGGAAGTCATATGTGTGATTCTAGGACAGAAGGCAGTGGCCACGTCTCAAAACTGAAG